ACGCCGCGCGTCAGGGCAGAGACGTCCACCACCACCTGCCGCGCACACAGAGGGCCGACAGTGGTGACAGCGCGCGGCGGGTCAGACCTCACAGTGGGGATAGCGGCAGCGGGTCAGACACCCTTATAGAACAGCACGGGGCGGAGCCGACAAAAGAGGACGAGGAGACGGTCATACAGCCGACTGAGGTCCGGGCACCGACTGACTCAAAGTGCTGAACATGTCACACATTTCTAAATGGCTTCTGTAGGACGGAATAGTGTCTCTTCCTTCCAAGGCTTACTTGCAGAATAATATGGAAAGACAACAATAACCCATAACAACAATAACATCCTATCCTTTGATGCCACTTACCAGCAGCTTTGCGCACTACCAAACAGCCACCTTTGGGCCTTTGTTGTTCTTGATTTGGGCATTGTCAGTGGTAACTGGAAATAATCAGACATGATGGTCAGAGCATCTTGATTTGGGCATTGTCAGTGGTAACTGGAAATAATCAGACATGATGGTCAGAGTAGGGAATGTGACTACAACAAAAATCATTTCATTCCTATAAAATAGACATGATTTAATAGAAGACCTTCTTCTTAAGAAAGTGTGTCATGGATACCAGCTAATCTGTATGGTATTCATCTCCAGTATTATCATATAGGTATAACAATTATCACCACCCGCCACCATTGAATGTAGGTTTTAGGTTGTAGGTTGTAGGTGGTAGGTTGGGTATCGGTAAAGCTGGTGTCACCGTCAGCGCTAACCGGTAAATGTGTAGATAAAAGGAATCTTAAAAACAATCTAACCTAACCTAACCTTACCTACTGACCCAGGGGCGGATCCAGAAAATCTCCAAGGGAGGGGCCATTAGAAACCAGGAGGCCCCCATAATCCCACCTGTTGGAGGCCCCATCTTCCCACTTGTTGGGCCCCCCCAAAAAAAACTGCGTCTATTGAGCTTATCTAGCTGTTCAGGCAACATCTCAACATGAATAGCCACTTTATTTTCAGGAGGCCCCCTTTTCAGCTTTTTAACTTTTTATTTTATTTTTGAAAAAAATCGGCCAAGGGGGGGGCCATGGTCCCCATGGCCCCCCCCCCTTGTATCCGCGCCTGTACTGACCTGCAACCTACCTACCCACAACCTACCAAACTAATATACGCTGACAGTGATGCCAGCTTTACCAATGCCGTACGTTGTAGGTTGTAGGTAAGGCTAGGTCAGGTAAGATTATGTTTCATTATATATTTACTGAGAAGACGGCTGAATGCTCTTGAGACGTGGCTATACATTTACATTTTGTAAGTAATTTTCAGGTTTCAATGAATATTTCCTAGTGGAATGTTTTGAAAACCATTCTAAATGATGACCTTTAGCATTCCATAGTACTTTAAAGCTAATTAACCACATCGCCAATGCTAGGTCACATTGCATGCCTACTTCCACCGGCAGCTCCATGGGATATATGATAGGCAGGGGTAAATGGAATATTTTTTATTAATATTCTTGAAGAAAATTATAGGCATGAAAAGAAGATGATCTGCCTTTGAGATTGATATGTGATGCCTACTTTGGAGGAACATAATCATAATAATTACACAATCATAAAAAATGCAATGTAACCAAACAGCCGCTTATGCCGCAAAATGAGAATCAAGCCAATCACTGAGGACAAACAATTTCAAACCACCAAAACTATATTCTTGCTATTCGCCAATAATCCTAAAATAGCGTTCCATGGCCATTATATCCATCTTTCACCCTTACCTTCGACAGATAACTAGCGCCACGGGCAGACACACGGGGCGACAAGTTGTTTACAACCGCTACAGTCCGACGAGTCTATCCTCCTCAAGGCTGATTGGCTTGAGTGTGACGTCATTGCTATGACATCATACAGTAGCTGCGGTAGAGAGTATAAACATAGTACCAATATGTTAAATAGTTTGAAATACTTTTTAGCGAATTATGCACTTCTGGCACCGGTTTTGAAAAGAAAATGGAAAATAATAATGTCAAAATAAAAACCAACGATATCTTCATATTTCAAGAAGGTGGCACTTTTCCTTTAAGCCGTCCACACGCTAAGTCACTATAGAATCCACCCATACACGGGGTCATTATACGGCGGCTACCGCAGTCACTGGCTCACTTGGTATACGGTAGCCAACGGGTGCACTGGCCATTGCAACACACTGGTCACCGCGTCAGCGTACAGTGCAAGGTGCACGGCAGTTGTAACGCCGGTAGCAGATAGCCCGACACAGTCCAGCCGCGCACAATCGTTCGTACACGTCCCGTTTTCTGACATCGGGGCTCTGTACGGGAACGGCACCAAGGACACGCGGCGCAGGCCGGCGGAGACCGCGCACCGCTCACACACCACACACAGCGGTTTATTGGTATTGGGGTGAACGGCGGCGTGAGGCAACTCAGTACCGAAATCCGATTAGTGATGCAAACCTCAGGCCGTCGCCGGGTGAGAGTGGATATTCGGCTCAATAGCCGCAGAAATTACTTGGCTTAGTGCGGTGCTAGGGATATGTCAACAGGGCTTGGGGTGATTATCGCAAACATATTCACAGTTCCCGTAATGTTCTCAGCTCTGGATAACAAAAGTTTTCTTCAATCACAAAAGCAAAAAAACATCCCCTGGCTGAAATCCGACGGGCGCCTGGTGTACAAAAGACTATAAATTTAGCTCGAGACGGCGGTGTTTGCGCGGTGATTCGCAGCTGCTACCTGGCCGTGCGGCTACAGCTCACAGGCCGGAGCCGTGCGGCTGCAGCTCACAGGCCGGAGCCGTGCGGCTGCAGCTCACAGTCCGGAGCCGAACGGCTGCAGCTCAGAGACACTGAGCCGTGCGGCGCTCGCGGGGTGATTTACAGACGAGGCGGCGGCGGGCAGCGCACTCGGAGCGGCGGGGGGCACTACGCAGCAGAGTCGTGTAGGTCCTATACCGGCCGGGAAGCGAACAGGGAGGGAGGGATTCGCTCCTTCGCGGCTCGTCAGAGGGTAGTATCGACGAGCGACCGACCACAAGGTGTGTGGTATGGGGGAATGGGAGGGGGCAAGGGGCTGGGGACCGACTAACCGAGCATGGCGGTGACAACAACACTATGCTTACGGCTTATAAAGCCTCTAGGGACTCCAAGCGTGCCGTGTGGCGTGTAGGTTCGTCGTCATAAGGGCCAACGCAACATTGGGAGCTAACAACAGGGTCGAAACAGCCAAACACGAGGCCAGTAAATATTCGGCTACTCAATGTCGGTTTGTTTTGTAGGTGGAAACAGATCCCACAGACGTGCCGAATCCGATTGGCGATTGTTGGAAACATAGTAATGATGATGAAGTTTTAGTGTTAGCAGCCCCGGACGGCGTTGGTCATTGGGGTATAGATTAGTTAGGTTAGGTTAGGTTATGTAGGTTAGGTTATAGTTAGTCCTACGATCCGTGCTACCTCGTAGCTTGTGTTCGTCGCTGTCCGTTTAGCCAGGATGGGAAACAGTTATAAGCCGCAGTCGCGTAATTGATAATACGATCGTTTTTTTGTCACCACACCAAACATTAACTGCATGCTGCTCAGACATCATAAAAATGAAATATAGGAGTTCCCAGAACTCCGGAAAAGCTTCAGGCGCAACCGCTCAAGGAGAATTGGTCGGAAAATGAAAAAAAAAACTTCAGGCGCAACCGCTAAAGTAGAATTGGCCGGCATTTAAGATGGAGAGAAGGTACCTAAGGTGTGACCTGTTGATAGAATTCCCGGCCGTCTATCCCCGTCTCGCCAGTCGGCAGCGGAAGGCGGAAACTGTCGGGGGTCCGGGACCGGGAAAATCCTGACAGAGCGCTCACATCCGGTCCGCGCCGCCACCCCACACATCCATGTCACTGCTCGGATTACCAATCAGCTCGTGTGTAGTTATGTGTGTGTGTGTGTGGGGGGGGGGGGGCAGCCCTCCCCCAGCTCGTCACTCAGTCCCGAACAGTCGGAGGGGTGCTGATCCAGGCCGACAGCCAACGGTCACGTGCCACCGCCCGCGGGAGGCCCGGCGGCGCACGGCCCCATCACGTGACCAGACCGTCCGTCACTACACCAGACCGCAGCGTCACCCGTGTTTGACGCTAGCGTGAGATTGTCACAGGATTGACAATGCCGCCGGCCGGCCGGGGAGCGCTGGGCCCGATCCCATCAGGGTCCTGGCTCCGGCACTGCGCGCTCCTAGCCCGGTCCTCTGTCCGTGTCCCCGCCGTATGTAACGCGACTGGACCGGTTCGCCCGATCGGCGCGGGAGATAGGTAAGCCACCGCCGCCGTCACCCGGGCCGCAGGGCGCGCGGTAACCGTTCCACTCCGCCGCCGCTCTCCTCGTGTCGCCACGAGCTCGCAGCGCGGCCAGGGAGCGGTCTCCCAGGGTCACCGCCGGGCTCAGGGTCGGCCGGCCCGTGTGGGTGAGGGTCACGCGGCCGGCGCACGGAGGAGGCGGTGGGAACGGCCACGGATCAGGCGGGCAGCAATGCGCCACTACTGGTCTGAGGGTGCTGGCTACAGCCTGCGGTGGGTAATGGGTACAATATAACTACAGGGTACACCGTACACAATGCTGAGCATTATAGAACATTGGGATGCATGCAATGAGGATATCGAACGAAAACACCAAGGCAACTTCGGAAAAATAGGCATATTCGAATGTTCGAATGCCATTTGGAGGCGATTTTCATCCAAATTCCCTGAAACCCTACAAAACTGAGTCCGATCATGTGGTGCCTGCTTTTCCGCCTTTGTTCACACACCCTGCACCATACCTACGCCACCACTGAACACCGCCGTCACTGACGAGTCTGACTCAGCTGACGTGTCAGAACGATGACGTAGGCCGAGACGGCTCACCTGCCGCTGGCGGCTCAACTGATGTTTCCTCACTCGGCGCTGACAGTAAAAAGAACGCTGCAAACTCACTTCTTCCCGCCCAATGTTGGCAGTTCATCTGACACCGCCAACTCACCTGATGTTGGCTCCGACCATCATGTGCAGCACACAGAGCAGCTCGTCGCGCGAGATCAGCTCGTCTCCGTCCAGGTCGTACATGCGGAACGCGAACTGCAGCTTCTGCTCGCGCGAGTTGTAGCGCGGCTCGCGACCCTTGCGGATCGGCCGGAAAATGGCCAGCGTCTTCAGAAACTGCAGGAAATTAATCTGTGGAACAGCGGGTGAGGACGCCGTCAAACATAGTCATCAGTAACAAGAAACGGTCACAGCGGCAGCGGAGATCGGAGAATAAAGGGCATTTAATTAGATAATGACGACACTTTTCATCTGTGGTAATGGGATGACATGATATCTTGATTACGTCGATGGGAATCAGCGAAACAAGAAACCCATAACGAAACAAAACGAACAGAGGAACGCCGTCGTCCCATGGTCTTGACGCGTGTGAGGGAATCGCGGAATTTCAGTTCGCAACTGATCGGCGAAAATATCCACGCATCGGGCGTGGATTACGATAAACCATGACCATTTCATAGAAACTTGATCAACCGCGGTTAAAAGTCATTGAAATAATTAAAATTTAAGCATCAACCTGTTATCTAACGTATACGACAATTAGGTTTATCATATTATACACAAACCCATTGCCGAACTTGGAAATAATCAGCCTTTAGCGTATGAGAATGTTGACACTGCCCCGGTTAACTAAACTTCATATTTGCTGTAAAGATTGTGTCGCTCGAAGGACTCCCTGGCGGCTGCCCCTCGGTGTTCCCTCTCAGCCTGTTTACTCCGCCGTCGCTCAGCCAGTCACGCCACTGACCGGGAGTCAATGCACGCAACCCCTCCCCCTTCCCACTTCTACTGACAGGGACGGGCGAGCACAGACACAGAGGGACGATGACGTCAAACGGTCAGCGGCACGGCGCACGCAATCCCTCGGAAAGGGACGGCACTCGCAGGTACAGAGTCCCGGTGATGACGTCCTCCGGCCCGCGGCACGACACCCAGCCCGGCGTGACGTACCACCGAGCAGGAAAGGACGCCCAGGGAAAATCGCCGCCCGCCACACACCACAATGACGCAGTGCTGCTTACGTGCCACCGACGCAACAAAGGGACTATGCAAAATGGCCTCATTACACCGATTAATCCCAAGGCCCATTACACCGACGATGAGCGCATCGCGAACTTCCACTGGAAGTGACGTGGACGGTATACTAAAAGCGGCACTTTGATCTAAGACAAGACGTCCGTGGTTTCGTCACTCTACCCATAATTTTCCTCGTTGAAACTGCATGTTGATGAAGCGTCGAGTGCTCAGTAGGTGCGATGTAAAATATAGCAACAGTCATCACTATACCTTTCAACAACTTAGAAGAATCACAAAAAAATAAATCAATTTAAGGTTTAATGTCGTTCCTAGCCTTGCCAACAAGCAATGGTGGTCTTTCCGTCAATAAGTTCAATGTTCGCTATACTGGATCAGTAAAACCGACCAATTTATCCCCGTCTCAGCCGAAATGTTGCCAGTTGGCACACCATTACCCGAAAGAATTCACAGAGCGTTATGGACCAGACATGAGACAACACAACGATACCACGGACCGTCCAAGTTCGCCCCCGGTTCCGACCTCTTCCGCTCATCTACCGGCCACATATGAGTCTCGCGTGACTCGTGAGTACCGGAGAATGTATTCCAGGCCCACCAGAGCACAGGCCGCGGGTCTCACCGCCCACTGGCCGTCGGTACCGCTCGGGACGGCGGAGGGCGCCGTGCCGACTCAGCACGAACCGCGGCCGGGAGACGGACCACCATGGGAACAGCGCCGGGCACAGGTCACACGCCATGTTTATGTGGAGCGCCCGGCGCCCAGCTACCGCCGCCAGCCGCCGACACACGCGGATAGAGCAGCGACGGAACGGGACAGTGGGCCGTATGGACTACAACGAAACAGGATGGCAGTGGTGGTTTCTGCCATGCCCGTGGAGTGAGACGCGACACTGACTGAATGGCCAATAGATGCGGGACAGGACTGGACAGGATGGCGTAAAAACGAACCGGGATCGAGACACTACTGTTTGGGAATGCCATGACTCACCCAGATTTCCCAGATTGTTAGCCGATGCAGAGAGATTGCATTCAAACGACCGACGTTACTGGCATGGCTTCCTTTTTCTAAATGCTATCCAATATCCATCTCAAAACTAACCAGTAACCAGTAACCGTGCATGTATCTCAAATCTTACTAACGTCTCCCAACTTACCATGTATCGCCTATCAAGTCGGCTGTCATCTGCCTGCCTCCCGCCCGCCCGGCCGTCCCTCACTTACCGCCTGTATCCTAACTAACCCGACCGTCGCCTGCCTCCCCCCGCCCGCCCGTCCGTCTCTCACTTACCGCCTGTATCCTAACTAACCCGACCGTCGCCTGCCTCCCCCCGCCCGCCCGTCCGTCTCTCACTTACCGCATGTCTCCTAACTAACCCGACCGTCGCCTGTCTCCCGCCCGTCCGTCCCGCTCGCCCCCACTGACCGACTGTCTCTCCTAACTAACCCCGATGTCGCGTCCCGGCTCTCCGTCCGTCCCCACTGACCGACTCGTCCTCCGCGTCCCTGAAGAAGGCGTGCACGATGCGGTCGCCCAGCGGGTTGATGGCCAGCTCGGGGATCCTCAGCAGGTCCTCGCGCGAGAGCGCGCCGTTCCCGAACTTGTCCAGAGTCGTGAACCGGCTGTACAGACGCTCGATCTGGCTGGCCGAGACTGCGGAGAACCAAAGGTCGTCAAAGGAGTCAGACACTCAGCTGGAAATAGCATGAGCAGTAACAACTTATGTGAATTCTAAACAGCATAAAACAACATAAAATGATAACTTAATTCAAAGAAGAGATAGAAAAATCTTACAACCTACAAAATAACTCAGAATGTACTGCTTGCAATAATGTACTCACATCCAGTTTCATTCTGCATCCTCTCCACCTCCTCAGGCTGCAGAGTAACTGAGTTGCTATTACCCATCTTGGTCTTGAGTGAAACTGAAACAAAAGGTCAAAATATTGAATAATACAAAATAAAAATACATATTCTTTAGCAAGATCAACCAGCTCTAGCACAATTCTATTTTGATAAGCTAAACCCAAAATGATGTACTTGTAATTAAGAGAACTGTCAAAGCTTATTAGGTCTAATCAAAATAAACTAGAAAATTAAGTGCTAACTATAGCCTGTTGGCAAACTGAAATGAAACAGTCAGTATTGCTGGAGGCTATTATTCCAGACACCAGACACTGAGACAAACCATGGCAAGTTAATGAGCCAAGCAGACAGAACAGTATAAGTAAGCCTGGCATCCAAGGAATATGCCAGATACTGTTGTAGGTTGTAACTTTGTAGGTTTTTAGGGTAGGTTGTAGGGCTAGGTTGTAGGTTTGTAGGTTGTAGGTAAGGTTGGGTCAGGTCAGGTCAGGTAAGGTTTGTTTTGGTCTATGTATCTCCATCATCCCAATCCGGCATCTTCCTGGGACCCCAGGCTTACTAATACAGACAGATATCTCCCACTACAAGCCGGAACTTGGAGTAGATGCTCGTTATTGTACACAACGGTCCCGGTTCAGGAAATCATAGAACCAAAGCAATTTCAATGCTCGTACACTTCAAATTCAGATAATTTTTAGGCAAAAAATCTCCAAAAGAAAGAGATACCACCTATGCAAATGGGCAATTTGACGATTGTATCCTAATCAAGTGAACCTGAACTGGTAAAATATCAATAAACCGAAAATTCAATACCAATATCAAAAGACCATAGAGTGAAGATGTGTCTGGGTATTTTGAGTGCTTGATTGTCTTAAAAGCAAATGAAATCGATGGGCCTTACCAGCCAAGGACGTGAAGCACCGCCTAGAAGACCGAGCGCTACGGGCACCAGCAAGCACCAGCTGCGCTCCCCACCTCGATGGCGGACCGTCCTTGACTGCCAAGGAAATCGTCGATGACAAATCACGTGAATTTCGTAACCACGAAGGTCACAAGAAATGTCGTATATTCTGCTAAAAATTCAGTTTTCATGTCATTATTTGCAAAATATACAAAACATGAAATATTTTATGTTTGGAACAGACTATTGTAAACTTATACGATCTTTTGATGCATATTAATAAGCAAATATTACAATAAACGTCATCATAAATAACGATTTAAAGGCAATTTAATTCAGGTTTTGTCTTTGCGGCGCCAGTTCTGTCGAGTTGATCTGTTGACGTATACAAAACACGCAAAACACGTTGTTTACAGTTTTCACGATTTTCACGGATATTGGAGCGTTTCGAATTTAGGGCGGCCTGGAATTTGAGGTAAATCGATGTTTTTTTCATGCATTGTGAATTTCAATGCTTCATGAGCTGTATAATCTACTAATGCCCACAAGTCAATCAAGGTTGAAGGATCGGTGTTTTAGCCGAACTAATTCAAATTGTAAGACGTGCTTATGTACCTATCCTGAAGAGTTAGGTGATTTCCTGGGTATTATAATAATTTTTCTTTTAAAGAATGATTTGGGTGTGAACCTTTTGAATGGAAGGATTCACAAGGACAGAGCGGTAAATGTCAAGTTTAAGTCCTAAGAAGATTTCATTGATAAATTTTTCATATTTTTACATTATTTGACATCCTGAATCCAAAAATGATCCTCATATGTCTCGCAAATAAAAGAAAAAAACATAATCAAACCTGACCTAACCTTACCTACTTACCTATAACCTACCAACCTACAACCTACAAACCTACCCTAACCTAACCTAACCTACAAACCTACCTACCTACAACCTAAAACCTACAAACCTACAACCTAACCTAACCTAAAACCTAAAATTTTTGCTGTTTCATATTCGTATCAACAGCGTCACAATTGTAGTTAGGACCTAAACTTGACATATACCGACAGAGCCCCCACTGAACATAGCTTGTTGCATTGGGCCCTTACCAGCCTCCCAGACTCGGAAAAATACATGTTATGCTGAATATGTGTGACATAATGGTGGGATTGTGCGGAAAAATTTCAAGAGGCATCCTGCGTAACTCTGCATGCACCAACATCAGAGCATGGCAGCTGCTTAATTTTTTTTGGCATAGGGTAGCCGCTGAATTTCTTTCAAATGGCGGTCATCAATTTTTTTCTGCACTCTTAAGTCAATCTATCAGCAGATCCATCCTGCAGGCGGCTCTAGAGAGGGCTAGGGAATGGGATGATACGTCCCTACCCTGGTCGTTGCGTGCTCTGACTCGCGAGCCTCCCTGAGTCTTCACAGTGGATCAGCGGCCGCCTAGGTGAGGCCTCCTCCCCCGGTGCGTGGGTAGGTAAGGTAGGGCTTGTTTGACATTGCAGAGCATCGTGAAATGATCCTGTAGTGGGTTCCTGCCCACTGCGGGATCGAGGGAATGAGAGCGCAGACGACCTGGGCGAAACAAGCGGCTGCCCTGCCCTCGGTCACCCGCTCACTGACCTGGGCGGTTCATTGTGCGGCCTCGCGCCAAATAGTGTGACAACTAGCCCGAGTCACTATTAAAGCCACTTTACGGGAGCACGCTGACACTCCCCATACCTGGAGGGGACCGAGAGGCCGCTGTTTTAGTGCACCAGATGAGATGAGGGCGGGCAACTGGGGTAGCTCGCTCCAGTTCCTTCATGCACCGAATCGGCTGTCTCCACTCCGCGGCGTGCCGCAGTGCCTAGACGAGCGGTGCCCCCGAAGAAGAGTCTGATGTGCCGTGTGCCGGAGCACGTGCTGCTCCGCTGCCCGGCCCTCGCTGCCCCCCGCCAGCATCGAACACACCGCTCCGCCAATTTTTGTGACTCCGGAACTTCCGGCGGCCCGGGCCTTGTTTAAAAGCACAACGCTACCTTGCACTAGGTACGCGTATTGTGGTATTGGGTTTCCACGGAAACATCAACTAATTCGGACGCTCAAACATGGGAGAGCGTCCAAGGCTCCGGAACGCCCTGTGACAGTCTGGCTGATATAGTCATAGCTTTGGTTGGTAGATGTGCACATGTGTAAAAGTGCTTTGTGTAAAAGTGGCTTAATTGATCGCAAATGGGCTCTTCAACTTTCGGCGCAAACCATGCAGAAATTTGGGCGCAAAGTCACTCGCGCCGAATTTCGGCGCGAGGGTCTCGCGGTTGTCCGGCGTAGTGTATGGATGTTTTCCAGTCAGGCCGGCCTCCACCCTCCAATTATGCAATTCCTGGTCAATGACAGAGTTTCGAGTTCAACATTAACCCTCGCCTGCATGCGGCATTTTTTTCAGCATCTTGACGTGTTGGGAGGTTGGTTGGACAGTGGACACCCCACCCCCCGCCGTTCCGCCCCAGATCGAGCTAGAGCTTCGTGAAAAAACGAGCATGCTGATGCTGCACGTGATGAGAGGAAGCCGATGATATCCAATTTAAGGTCCTAGGTTATTAGTTGACCTTTCAGGTCAGGGTCAATGACCCAAAAGTCGGGAAAATCGGGACCTACTAGAACTTTGTAAAGTGAAATTGTTACGTTTTTTTGCGGGGGGGGGGGGGGTGCAGATCACTAATTTCTTTTTAGATTCGATCACAGTTGATATCTTTATGCATTTAGGCCAGGTCAGGTCAGGTCAGGTCGATTAGTAGGCGTCCTGCCGGCTACCTGTTGTAGGTGTCAACCACCACTGACGGTGTCGTAACATGTTAAGTAGGCACTGAAACTACTTCGTAAATATTCAAATGGATGCTAAATTCCAAATCAGCTCCAAAAGCTACCATGCAAACAGGTAAAAGTTGAAAAAGTGAACCTAGGTCATCAAACGGTCAATGACGTTGACCTTCTCTTTACCTTTACATTACCTTTTATTACCTTTACACACACCATAATGCATGGGACAAACATCATTTCACATGGCTGAAGTTTTACAATCACACCAAAAAGACTGGAAACGCACAGATAATGTGAGCTGACAGCCGAATCGCGATCCCGGCAAAACATGGTCTCGTGAAATAGGTCACAGGTCAAAGGTCGTGTGGGTCAAAGGTATTTATTGTCACCGTGGTGTGGGTAAGGGTCATCAAACTTTCAGGGTAGGCGTAAAATTGATCAACTCGAGTGTACTGAAAGTTTCGTTGCAATCGGCCGCTTTTTGCGCGAGTTATTTGCGAAAAACTAAGAGGGGTCCATCCGACCCTCCCCCTATAAGTGCGAGGGTCTGCCACCAACTTCAGGCTGTCAGGAGGCTCATGAGTAATAAACAGCAAGTACATGTCATGCCTCAAACCCCGAACTTTTGTAACCGGGATGCAAATGCTCTTATATCTCACCATCTGTGTGGTGAGATGTAGGCACTCTGCTTGCTGATCCATGGAACTGGCTGGTTGGCCAACTCAGTTCATTTCTGCTCCAATTATACACCATGATCCACTTGCTTCAATGGCGTTGCTCTGAATGCTCCTCAGATGGAATATAGTTGTGATAAGTATTGGGTTTACATAGGTGGTAGGTACCCTACCTGTTCTAACTCACCTAGATGATGAATCCTGGGCTATAAATAGTCATTAGTTAATGTATGTTGACTGGTTTACTTAATGTGACAGTGACAATTTGTATTAATCCGAAAACATTCACAATTTGTCTTACACCTATTTTTGATTACCATTGCTTTCTAATTAATAATCATGTTTACCTACTTAAAGTAGAATAGCTTGTGCCTGTACTGTATTTAGTATTTACCTCTTCAAATTTCAAAACTTTAAAGTGTGGAAATCTTGGACTGTGGCACATATAACTTTTTATGCTATTAACAGGTAATCAAGAGTGCCAGTCATGCCAGTGCTTGAGGAAGCAATTACCAACATTCGCTCTGCCATTGAAGCTGGGCGCACTGATATTCTTCGAGCCTTGATTGAGGCATGTGAAGAGTGTAAGTAAACTATTGCATCTTCCTTTAGACGCCAAGGTGAATTTCAGAAGCCAAATGCCAATTTATCTGCTCTTATCTCCTCTCATTGCCTTTAAATCAATGCAGATGTGTTTGCTGACTTTGGCCGACTATTACGATTTCTTTGCTACCTATTTACTTGGCTTAACGTCTTAACTTTAGATAATGTTTGCAGTACCTAACAAATTTATGTGGTGTGTGCCTGGCACTGCCCTGCTGCCCTTTTCCCGGCGCCAAGGCCCGCTGACAGCCGCCGCCCGCTGTCCGCCGCTCTCCAGGCGAGCAGGCGGACACGGAGCACGTGACGAAGCGGCGCGTGCTCTCGGGCCTGTGGACGGCCGACGGCACGCTGCTGCACCTGGCCACGCGGCTGGGTCGGCCGGACGTGGTGCGCGCGCTACTGTACGCCGGTGCCGATCCGGGTCTGCAGAACGCCGACGGCGACACGCCCGTCCATCTGAGCGCCTCCGACACCATGCGCAGTGTCTACACTGACGAGCTGTTCAAGGCCACCGCGCAGTCCAAGTGAGTGGTGGGTGGGGGTGCGGGACGAGCGGTGCCGTGCGGGCGCTGCGTCGACGGCATGGTGCGAAATGAGGGAGGTGATCGAGCGCACGGTAGTTTTGCGGCGACAGACCAATTGGGTGATTGTGGCGCCACCTGCAGGATGTGTGACCTCTTCCACCTGGCGACCGAGGCTGCTGGCTAGCGACCGCCGGAGGTAATGTTACTAGCCTGAGCGCCGCTCGGCCATGCCAGAGGGGGTCACACTAAGATCAGGATGTTCACCGTCATTTACTTATATTTACATATTGTAAAAAGCTATTTATTATCGTCTCGGATCTTTAAACGTTCTGGCTTTGCGCTTCAATCATATGAGCAACTTTTTCTGAACACGACGCGTTCACGCGATTCCCCGGTTCGTCCAGCTCTGGCAATAGGCTGATGTTTCTTGCTGTGTGTGTTGTGCGAGCTCGGCCGTTCTCCAGTCCACTGACGTCTCTCTGTTGTGTTCTGGCAGCGAGGGCCGCGTGTGTCAGCTGCTGGCGGCCGGCCTGGCGGTCAACACGTGGGACAGCCCGCTCAGTCGCAACACTCCCCTGCACTGGGCGGCCAACTTCGCCAGCCGCGACATGGTCTCCTGTCTGACAGGTCAGTCCCGGAGGCGCCTCTCTGGCCGGAGGGGAGGGAGGGAACTTCGCCAGCCGCCTGCCTGACAGGTCAGTCTCGGAGGGGGGGGGGGAGGATGGAAGGAGGGGCGGCCAACTTCGCCAGCCGGGACATGGTCTCCTGCCTGACAGGTCAGTCCCGGGGCACCGGGGGGGGGGGGGGGGAGGGACTTCGCCAGCCGGGACATGGTCTCCTGCCTGACAGGTCAGTCCCGGGGGGGGGGGGGAGGGGAGGGGCGGCCAACTTCGCCAGCCGCGACATGGTCTCCTGCCTGACAGGTCAGTCCCGGGGGCACAGGGAGGGGAGACTTTACCAGGGGGCGACCAAGGTCTCGTGTCTGACAGGTCAGTCCCGGGGCACCGAGGGGGGGGGGGGGACTTTGCCAGCTGCGGCTTGGTCTCCTGTCTAGCAGGTCAGTGCCGGCTGGCACATAGTCTTTTGTCTGAAAGGTCAGTCCCAGTACTATATGGTACCGTATAATCCCGCCCACCGGTATAATACGTTGCCGCCCACCGGTATAATACGGTGCCGCCCACCGCTCACCGTCGCCTCCCACCACCCCCCGGCTCCACCGCCCTCTGTCGACTCCCCGCGCAGCGTCCTGGGGCAGGAGGGGGACAACCCAGGCCGGTGGAGAGGGGAGGGAGCCCGGGCTGTCCCAGCCAGCCGCCCGCCGTGCTGCGATAGCTGATAGACTCTGCAGCCGGCGGGCTCATTTCCTTCCCCGCCACTATCAGGCTGACTCTGCTCGGCAGACGGTGAATCGGCCGCCGTCTTTGCATCAGTGAGAGCACGAAATCGGCTGATAAATTGAATGGTTAGACGCTAAGCCTTCACAGATCGGTGTGTGACACCTACTACCTGTAGCTTGGAATATCGCTGAGATTTTAGCATTGGAATTTTCGGGCTTGACAGCCTTCTGTTGTGAACTTACGGCTGTATTGGAGAATTTCATTCTCAAAATAATCAAAACAGCGGGCATGTGCAGTTTTCTCGCACATTTGATGATCACTTAAAAGTTAGTTGATTGTGACAAGTCTGGCTGTTCACAAACGAGCCGAATCGGCACACAACAGTCCGTACTCCCCACCTCCGCTGTCCAGTCTCGCTGGCACCCCACAGTTCGCCCTCCCCACCGCCGCTGTCCAGTCTCGCTGGCACCACACAGTCCGTGCTCCCCACCGCCGGTGTCCAGTCTCGGTGGCACCACACAGTCCGTACTCCCCACCGCCGCTCTCCTGACGCCGCATTCCTGCCGCGCGGAGTGACGTCATCATTATGACGAACATGACGTCGCTGACCGGTAAGTGTCGCGGCACGGCACGGCGCGGGGCACTGGACGGTGGCCGTGGTCCGCCGGTGCCGGTGCAGCTCACCCCGGCGCCGGCTGGCCGGTCGGCGAGGCATGGTCCAGTGTTACGAAAGCGGACCTTTAGCGGTCGACCGACCGCGTGGCTGCATGGAAATACCGGGCCGCGGGGCTGAGGTGGACTTGACGGACTTTCCCGGTGCACCGTGAGTTACCGCAGCGCTGGAGAAGTAAACACTGCTGGACGCTAGGTGGGAATGAAATGATTTATTCGTATTCGTCGGAATACATTACGATACCAAGAACGGTACAATATCGCATACCACAATGTGATTCGCAGAAAGAATACATTGGTGGTTTCATTTGCGGAATGAAATGGGCATATCTATCACACAAATAACTAATGGCGAATACTGATGTTCGAATGAGCGAGATTTGAATGTCATGGCTCACAATAAACCAAATCACCACGCGCCTATCTTGCGTATAAAACGGATTATCACTCGGCAGCTTTGTCACCCCACAGTTCCCATGGGGCGTGGGGAAGATTGAAGCAGGCAATACTCTCACCCGAGTCTTCACATTCCAAGACTCACCCAAGACCCCATGGAATTCCCATGGGGCATTCCACGATAGATCGACCAAAATTTTATCAGATTTACACCCGACCATTTTTGATTTTGATGAAATCTTGTCTACAGGGTTCTCTTATGCCCTGAAGTCAATGGTGACAACACCAGACCCCTACGGTCAGCGGTTTAGGAGATATAGCCCCGGGCATTTTGACGAGGTCACTCTGCAGAGTGATTTTTGAAGTGCTATATCTCCTAAAGGAATGAAGGAAATGCATTAAACCTTTGCATCGTTGTGATCGTGGTGAAATGGGCAATTAATTGGCCATCTCGGATTTTCAAAAAAATGATTTTGATTTTTAGCTGTGACGTCATCAATTTTTAAACTTTCTGGCTACCCCCCTAGAACATTAAAATTTGCCATTATTTTTGCTCAGAAATAAAGTTCCGTCAATTTCCTTTCGACTGGCAAAAAACAAAAATGGTAATCTTTCTACAAATATTTTATTTTATTTTTTTGAAAATCGCACAACAAACTCTGATTTACAGAATCGGGTTATTAAGCAATATAAGACACATCTGCGAGGACCAGTTACTTCCAAAAAGAGGTTATCTGGGTTTCCGCATATAATATTCTTCTCTTTAACTTCACTTTTGATAACAAAAAGAAAGAACTTTAATATTACTTGCACAGGAGTCAATATAATGGCAAAATTATACATACTTTTGAGCTGCCACAGCTGCCTTGTTTATCAACGTAGCTCAAATGACCAACCGACAGTCGATTTGCAAAGCATATTTACGAACCGACTAATTATTAACGAACAAAATAATTGGTAGTTTCAGGAAGGCAAAAGGTGGTGTAATGTGACTAGGTATTTCATCAGCGAATCATCATTTTCAACGCTGGATGCAATAAAAGCCATAAACAACGGAGTGCATTTCTATTGCAGTTGCAATAACAGACGGCAAAGCACCAAGACAGGAACGAGATCACGGCCACACAAACACACTTTTTACTTGGAACGTTTCGTCCGAGCATGCATGCTCAGTGCTCACGACACGACCCTCATCCGTTGAGAGTTCGTGAACTCTAAGAGATGATACAGTCACAGGTGTAAATCTATGGTAGCGCTGCGTTCCTCTGATTGCAACAGCTTTAGCGAAGCGGGCCTTGAGCATCTGTCTCTTTTCCGCCACTCGGACACTAGGAACGAAAATGAATCGGATAGCTGACCGAAATTGACCAACCAGGTAGCTGTGCAGTGCTTCCACATCCAAAATTTGGTCACTGTAAGGCCGCCTGAGGCTCTCCTGGTACGCTGCTCGCTTAACAGTACCGCCAATGCCATCGCAAGCACCCTTCCCGTGCGAGGTCGCAAAAAAATTCCATTCACACTTCACACCAAAATCCTCCTCATGATGGCAGATATTTACAAAATTGTACCGGTTCTTATACTGGGCTGCACAGCCGTCCGTAAAGTAGTGAACCTTCGTGAGCTGCGGAACAACGCCACGGATCTCTCGAACAACTTCGTCACAAAATACATGCACCATAGCGGGATCATGTTTCCTATCATCCGTGATACAACAAAAGCTCTTATGATGCACTTCGCCCTGGTCCCGCCAGTATGCGACAAAGGGATGTATTGTGCACTGCGAGGTGTCCCAATGGAATCCTTGGGCCGTCTCTGGCACAGCCCTTCACCAGACTGACACGCAAATTGCTTGCGTCTCCGATGATAACGTCTTTGTCTGGCGGAACGTGTGGGCTGTGGACCGACGCGCCGGGGGAGGGGTGTTTGTCACGGAGCGATACCGACCAGGCGGTGTAGTGTTCCCCCATTGTTTGTTCACAGCGGGTGGGTCGCAACTAGGGCACAATTGTATCACAGTAACTCGGACTCAGCTTCAAGGGTTTTCCCCTTGATCGTCTGCACTCATTACTACAAACAAACTACATTGTTTTACGTTATTGTAACGCTCGATCAATTTAAATCATACTTTTGGGAAATACAGAATGTTAAATTAAAATATCTTACGCTTTGTTCCAGTTGCGAAAAATATTCAAGAAAATATTATTTAGGTGTTTTATAAATCCAGTCATTCCACTGTCCGTGCCAGCTGCACCTATTTGTCGTTTCAGAGCAAATGTATGCAAATTTCATATTACAGAGTTGTTTTCAAAAAATTAAATAAAATATTTATAGAAAGATTACCATTTTTATTTTTTGACAGTCAAAAGAACATTGACCGATCTATATTTCTGAGCAAAAATAATGACAAATTTTAATGTACTAGGGGGGTAGCCAGAAAATTTAAAAATTGATGACGTCACAGCTAAAAATCAAAATAACTTTTTTGGAAATCCGAGATAGCCAATAAATTGCTCATTTCACCGCCATCACAACGATGTACAGGTTTAATGCATTTCCTTCATTACTTTAGGAGATATAGCACCTCAAAAATCACTCTGCAGAGTGACCTTGTCAAAATGCCCGGGGCTATATCTCCTAAACCGCTGACCGTAGGGGCCTGGCGTTGTCACCATTGACTTCAGGGCATAAGAGAACCCTATAGACAAGATTTCATCAAAATCAAAAATGGTCGGGTGTTAGGCCTTGGTCGATCTATCGTGGAATGCCCCTTGCGGAATGAAATGGGCATATCTATCACACAAATAACTAATGGCGAATACTGATGTTCGAATGAGCGAGATTTGAATGTCATGGCTCACAATAAACCAAATCACCACGCGCCTATCTTGCGTATAAAACGGATTATCACTCGGCAGCTTTGTCACCCCACAGTTCCCATGGGGCGTGGGGAAGATTGAAGCAGGCAATACTCTCACCCGAGTCTTCACATTTCATGCAGTCCTCACATTTCGATCATTCCTCGTATTCCGATCATCCTTTGCATTCCATTAAGCCCTCACGTTCCAAGGAGTTCTCAGTTCTCACTTCACCGAATCACAGTCAAAGAACCACATCAATCCACCATCCACCTCATAGTGGCGGCATCGGACTCTCCACAGCGACAGGCGCGTGCTGATCCTTCTATTCGGTACTGGGTCCACCGCCCCCTGAGCAATGTACTGA